AACCGATGATCGATTACGAAATTACAACCGATTGACAACACTAGTATTGTCGATAGCCTCTATTAGATTTCTAGAGATGTGATTTGTGGTGGACTTATTTTACATTTGCTTTCAGGCTGTGTGATGAACAGCTGAGCCATCAGTCTCATTATGACTTTGGGCTGAGAGCTCTGAAGTCGGTGCTCGTAAGCGCAGGCAATGTGAAGCGCGATCACATCCAGCGTATCAAGGAGCAGCTGATCGAGAGTGGAGCGGCAGTAGATGAGGGCAGCGAGGGCAGGATTGCAGAGAACCTGCCCGAACAGGAGGTAGGTAACTTTGAAGTTATCATCGTTGCGATTCGGCGCAGTCAGGTTGTTAGTAGATTATATAAATTAGAGGCTTAAGCATCAACTGTGTGTGAATTCCTTCATTTCCTCACCCCAAAAGCAACCCATCACACCCTGGCATTTCATGCTCACCCTAAAAGCAACCCTTCACACCCTGACATTTTATGCTCACCCTAAAAGCAACCCCTCACACTCTGACATTTCATGCTCACCCTAAAAACAACCCCTCACACCCTGACATTACATGCTCACTCTATAAGGGACCCCCTTACTGACATTTCATGCTCACCCCACACAACCCCTCGTTCTCTCACATTACACGGTCACCCTACAGACAACCCCCTCACTCCCTGGCATTACATTCTCACCCTACACACAACTCCTCACTCCCTGGCATTACATGCTCACTCTATAAGGGACCCCCTTACTGACATTTCATGCTCACCCCACACAACCCCTTGTTTTCTCACATTCCACGGTCACCCTACACACAACCCCCTCACTCCCTGGCATTACATGCTCACCCTACACACAACCCCTCACTCCCTCGCCCTCATCAGGGTTTCTTCTGAGGGAAAATTAGACAAAGGAGGTAATGGCCAGTTTGGGGAAAAAACGCCCATGATGGATTCAAAGTGCGTGTAGACCCCGCGTCACATTGCTCAATAAACGCACATGGCAATCTAAATATGCCAGAAGCACGTGGTGATCTATTTATTTTGGGGTTGACACTATTTTGACAATGGCAGGTAAATACAGGAACATTTTCACAATGGCGATGTTAAATTTGACAACGGTGGTGCGCGCCACTGTGCCTCTTATGTATAAGAAACCCTGCCTCACGTGCGGATGCTCATGTGTTGCTGCAGATTCTCATCCAGAGTGTGATGGAGACGATGGTGCCGAAGCTGGTTGCCGAGGACATTCCGCTGCTGCACTCTCTGCTCTCGGACGTCTTCCCAGGTGTGCAGTACACGCGCGCTGAGATGAGAGCCCTGCGAGACAAGATACACCAGGTGTGCCAGGAGACCTACCTCGCCTGTGGCGAGGGCGACGAAACAGGCTCCCTCTGGATGGAGAAGGTAAACACGTAGGTTGCTTAAGAGATTGGCTTGGCTGGCTGTGTGAGATGCAGCTTAGAATGAGTGGTGTTTGGTGTAGAAGATAGTGGGTAATGCAGTGGGTTCATTGGCAAATAGTGTTTTATTGGTTGAAGGATTTCGGTTTAATTATTGTGTGGTTACGAAATCGAAATGATTGTTGTAGTTGTTATTGTAAATAAATTTTTAAATAAAATAATTAGGATTAAATTTTAATTTAACCACATAAGGAGTGATATGTATGTAATGCTGAAGGTTTTTGAACGTGGACTCTAGGTAGAGCATTGCAGACTGCAGGTTAGTTAGAAAGATTTATATTAACCTACCCCTCTGACCCACAACTATGTAAAACACAACTTACAGGCAGACCCAGTAATCTTTCATTTTTAATATTTATTAGGGTCAGAACACGAGACTAGACGAGTTAATATAATATAGCATTCTTCTTATATTTTCTCTACAGGTTCTTCAGCTGTATCAGATCACACAGCTGAATCACGGCCTAATGATGGTGGGGCCAAGTGGCAGTGGCAAATCTACTGCATGGAGAACACTGCTCAAGGTAGAATTAATGTTGTGGCGAGTAACCTTAGTTTCCTTAAAAGGACAATATGTCTATCTAAATCTTTAATGCTTTATCACCAGAAGTCTTTGCCATTTAGATTGTTTTCTCTTGTGTATGTTTTTAACCCAAGTATCGTTGCTTCACTTTACTACAGGCTCTAGAGAGGTTGGAGGGAGTGGAAGGTGTGGCTCATGTGATTGACCCTAAGGCCATCTCGAAAGATGCGCTCTATGGCACTCTAGATCCCAACACTCGCGAGTGGACCGATGGCCTGTTCACTCACATACTGAGAAAGTAAGCCAGCTCATCGCCATTGACAGCGCAAATAGCAGTGTAGCTTTTTTATATTAATTTTACGTGTCATGTTAATGCCAGATGCCAGATGATATATATATATTATATATAAGTAAAAAAAACCATTACTTATACTTATAGTATAATAGAGTAGCGTAATTCTGTATAGAGCAGGAGTTTCCAACGTGGTTGGTATCCCCTAGTGTGGGGGTGGGGGCTGTGGGATTACGTAGGGGGCACTAAGAAATAGGCAAGTGGTGGGTGTATGTAGGGTAGGGTGGGAACATTGTGGAGAGTTTTTGGAGCCAAGAGAGCAGTGACCCAAAAAAGATTAAGAACCACTGGCTTTGAGGGTGACATATTGTTCCCAAGGTGAAGGTAATTCTTTCAAGAGGATGCCGTTTGCACTATCAGTATTTAAATCACACTTGGGGGAGTAAGAGGTAATAGTACTTAAATTGACCACGTCACGAATTTTCTATGGTAAAATGTGTAAAAAAAAAATTGCCATTTTTTACATTAAAAGTAAGACTAAACGTATCGTCAAATTCTTACCTGATAAGATTGTTTCTCAACTAGTTAAAAATCCAAAAAACCTGAACGATTTGATATTAATGTTCCCAACATTAATTGCTTGCTAGGGGCTATGTATGAGTCACGAGTGTATGTTCACATCGAACTATTATAGTAAAACAGGAAGTATAATGCAGCAATTTAACCACAAAGTGAACAGAATTACTTATATTTTGTGAAAAAGTGGAAATATATTTTTTATTTTTACTATTTACGGTGACGTAATCACTTTAAGTAATTCTTCCATTGCAGCTGCATCTGGAATTGATTAGACTATAGAATTGTAACTATGTGACCTGGTGACATGTATGTTGTATTTTAGGATTATTGACAATGTGCGTGGTGAGAGCGGTAAGCGACAGTGGATCATCTTTGATGGCGATGTTGATCCTGAGTGGGTTGAGAACCTCAACTCTGTGTTGGACGACAACAAGCTGCTGACTCTGCCCAACGGCGAGCGACTGTCCCTGCCACCGAACGTTAGTGCTCACCATAATCTCCATATGTTGAGATGAGCTCAGCAATAATCGATTGATAGCTAATGATTACAGATAAATGATGATTACTGCGTCTGCTGATGATTGGCAAGTGATAATTGATAACTGATGATTGGTGATCAGGATTGATAACCGATAACGGGTAACCAGTGATTGGTTACGGTGATTAATAACTAATAGTGTGTAGCTGGTAATCGGTTACAATGATTAATTACTAATAATGGGTAACTGGAAATGGGTTACAATTATCAATAAGTGATATTGGGTAACTGGTGATTGGTTGTGATGGTTAGAAACTGAAGATTGGTAAGCGATGATTCGTGGTGATAATTCATAACTGAAGGATTAATGACCGATAGGTGGGCACGATGATATTAAACTAATGATTTTGTAGCCCATGATTGGTAACAGCGGATTCATAGCTGGTGATTAATTTTATTCAAAATGTGTTGTCATCTATACTACAGAATGATAGTTTGTTAAAGTGGGTGTCAGCCTGTGATATATGCAATGGTAGACTGGATATATGACATTGGACTAAATGCTGTATTGTTACAATGGTATTATAGTTTGAAGAGCACAGCTTCCACTCCCTGTAACACATTTCGGCTTACATGGTTTTTGCAGGTTCGTGTGATGTTCGAAGTACAGGATCTCAAATACGCGACGCTTGCTACCGTCTCGCGGTGTGGCATGGTCTGGTTCAGCGAGGATGTGCTCTCCATGGATATGATCTTTGAGAACTACCTGGCACGCCTGCGCAGTATACCCCTGGATGAGGGAGAGGATGATGTCACCAAGGCTCACCATCATGAACATAAGGAGATGGATGTTCTCTCTCCCTCTCTGCAGGTATGTCATATACCAGCTCGTCAACCCTTAAAAAGTCTTCAACAAAGTTGCTCTATTTTTTAAAATATATTTTAACAGTATTTATGTTTACTCAGTATTCAGTGTAACCAGTATATATTAAATATATTTATACAGTAAATACATCCTTAAACTCTTAGGTAATAAGATTATTTTTAATTTGGTTTCAAATACAATAGCATGCAGGCAATTTGACTTAGTGTGCTGAAATGCTTATCATGGTGCTTGTATGAGTCATGCCTATTTGTTTACATCTAATTTAATGATAAGATTGTATGTAGCGACTTAACATAAACAGTCAAACTAAAATCATAACTGTATTTTTAAAGTTTATTCATGATATACTATGCTTATTATGCTATATAAAATCCTCAAGACAGGTAGTAATCTCGCCCAGCTGTGGGTATATCTGTAGCTATCCATTGCTTGGATCCATACGTAAGATGTTTTGTTGCTGTAGGTTCAGAGAGACGTGGCTGCAATCCTACAGCCATACTTCGTGCCTGGGGGCCTCGTCATAAAGGCGTTAGACAAGGCGAGCACGTTGGATCACATCATGGACTACACTCGCCTGCGTTCTCTCAGCTCACTGTTTTCCATGCTAAATCAGTCGGCAAAGAACGTCATCGGGTACAACTACAACCACCAGGACTTCCCAATGCAGGTGCGTAACTCGCCGAAATGCGAGTGAGTGTGATCTGTGAATTTTGCTGGCCTTCACTTAGTACTCTATTCTATGAATTCTACTAGACTGGACGAAAAGTGTATAATTTTATGTAGAAACCATCAGCTATAATATAATAGGCTAATGCTCTTAGTAAACTATACGATGAGCAGGTGCTACGTACACTAATTAACCAGAAAGTGATTGGGAGAGTGCAAGGCTAAGCTAGGCTGGTTGATAACATTGTTATGCGTTACATTCTTCCAGCTGTAACATATTTTAAATCGGTTGGAAACACTTATTTATTATGTTTTTTTATGTATTTATGTGTACGTCTTCATGTAATTTTTCAAACTACTTCATTAATTACTTTGCTGCAAATTTATTAATATCTTTGTGTTGCTTTTGTTATTTCAGTCCGATCAGCTGGAACGTTATGTACCACGCAGTCTAGTCTACTCAATGCTGTGGTCTTTCTCTGGCGATGGGAAATTAAAGAACAGAATAGAGCTTGGCGACTACATTCGTAGCATCACAACCATCCCTCTGCCACCATCCACCAACATACCCGTGATTGACTATGAGGTAAGTACAGTAACCATCCCCCTGCCACCATCCACTAACATACCTGTGATTGACTATGAGGTACGTACAGTAACCATCCCCCTGCCACCATCCACCAACTTACCCTGTGATCGACCATGAGGCAAGTACAATAACCATCATCAGCAGTCACTAACGTACCTGTTATTTATTGACGATGAGGTAAATATACTATCGATGCCCTGCCATCGACATCCCAACCATTCCACTGCCACCATCCACCAACATAGTGTTATGTCCACGTAAATGAGATGTATATCTTCCTGCATGCTCGGCTGTTATAAGAAGTTATTTCATCACACAGGTATCCATGGGAGGAGAATGGGTGCCTTGGCAAACCAAGGTGCCGCAGATTGAGGTTGAGACTCACAAGGTGGCAGCACACGACATCGTTGTGCCAACATTGGACACAGTCCGCCATGAGGCTCTGCTCTATACTTGGCTTGGTGAGCACAAGCCCTTGGTTCTGTGTGGCCCTCCTGGCAGTGGCAAGACCATGACACTTTTCAGTGCTCTCAGAGCTCTGCCAGATATGGAGGTATGTATTTACTCTGTGGATGAGATCATCATTAAAATTATGTTAAAATTATGGATGATGTGTCATGTATATTATTCAGTGAGTCGTGTGTTTCCTTGACATGTTCTCCTCAACCCAATAATACACACAACTGGTTTCATAATTTGTCTGTCATTTTATTAGTTGAGGCTAGAGTCACCTGTTTGTACTGCTCATGTCATGTCGGGTGCTAAATGCTCTCAGATATCACTGCTGGTGTCACCTATTCTTCACTGCACTGCATGTATTGTGCAGATGGACACAAATGCCAGATACAGTTATCTTTTCAAGTAATTTCATAGTCGGTAATAAAAAAAATGTTCCTTGTATTTAATTCTTATGGGCTGGTAGGGTCATGCTGCGAAGTCAGTGTAGGTAAACCCCCATGTACTCCTAGTCCTCCCTTCACCTTTTCCTTGAACTGCTCTGCCATTCTGCCATGCACGCCTGTCTTCCCAACCTACCGCCTGGTCTGATTATCTTTCCTCGGCACCCCAGTTGTTCCTTTTCCGCCCTTCTGAAACATGCTGTGATCATTACATCTTTACATAGGTGGTTGGTTTGAACTTCTCGAGTGCGACATCTCCCGAGCTGCTGCTGAAGACCTTTGATCACTACTGTGAGTACAGGCGCACGCCGAACGGCACCGTGCTCTCTCCCGTTCAGTACGGCAAGTGGCTCATCTTGTTCTGTGACGAGATCAATCTGCCCAACATGGACAAGTACGGTAAGCAATGAAATTTCCATTTGTGTTCAGCACTTGTGTTCAGCATACTCTGTTTGTACTGATAAGTACTATTAGTTCATATATATATATATATATATATATATATATATATACATATACACATATAGTCACTAGCTGCGTTCACACGTATACACGGCTTAGCTGGTACCGTACTTAGTTGGTGCTAAGTCCGGTTAAACTGCGTTCACACGAGATACACGAGATTCGAGGCTTAGCTAGCTCGGTATAATATAGACTGGTACCCGGTCGACAGTTCCACACGCTACCCTAACGTCGTGCAGCGAACGGGTAGCAGTCTAGGTTAGAGCGCTACACTTTCGCAATTCACACGAACAATGCGTTCACAATGCGCGAACAACACGAACAATGCGTTCACAATGCGCGAACAACACGAACAATGCGTTCACACGACAATCAATACCCGGCCAGCGTGGTGCCGAATATACGCGGCTTAGTTGGCGCGGAATATGATTCCGCGCTTAGCAAGCCGGAGCATTCGCGGCTAAGCAAGCCGTGGCTAAGCAAGCCGCGTATATTTTAGCGTGTGAACGCAACTTTTCTCCTCGTGTGAACGCAACTTTTCTCCTCGTGTGAACGCAGCTACTATAACCTAAATAAAAAGCCAGCCCTGCTCACTGCAGGTGAGGTTTATAGTTGTTGTGCTATGAGTGTGTTCATGGAACTGTGCTGTTAAGGAACCGTTTCATTGGTTAAGCTTTTAGATGTGTTTTGTGATTACATCTTTTGCATTGAATATCAATTACTTTGAATTGATATTATACTTGTGTTGCTGTGAATTGCATAATAAACAGGGGCTACATTATAGGAAATATGAGTTTATTATGCTGGTAGTGCTTTAATGAACGCAGCATAATCTGTGATGCATGTGCTGATGCAGGTGATTCACCTGTAGTCTCTTTCCTTAACATCTGATAAATTGCAGTAGATGCAGAACTATGGCTTGCAACTGTTCGTGCTTTCATCTCCCAGCTGTGATGTTTCAGGCACGCAGCGAGTGATCTCCTTCCTTAGACAAATGGTGGAGCATGGAGGATTCTATCGTGGCTCAGACCAGTCCTGGGTGAGACTGGAGAGAATTCAGTTTGTGGGTGCATGCAACCCACCGACCGACCCTGGAAGGAAACCACTCTCACACAGGTCTCATTCAACTTGTTCCAAAACATACGTTGTCATTATCAAACCTATAAATTATAGAAGCAATAAATTGACTAGAATCATTTATAGCATTTTATTTTACATACTTTAGATTTTCTTAGTGAGTACATGTGAATCATGCATGTTTGTCTATTATATTCGATTTTCAATGTTGATATATTTATTTTATCACATCACCTTTTAAAAATGTCCATTTTTATATATCATTCATCAATTTTCAGGTTCCTTCGCCACGTCCCCGTAGTGTATGTTGATTACCCAGGAGAGGTTTCCCTCAAGCAAATCTATGGCACCTTCAACAGAGCCATGTTGCGCATGATACCTTCTCTGCGCCCATATGCTGATCCACTCACCACAGCTATGACTGAGCTGTACTTGCTTTCACAGGTTAGTTTGTCATGCAAATGTAGCATGTAAGTATTAGCTACGAAGATTACGGGTTAGAAGAATAATGATCTGAATAAAACAAGAATTCTTGTTATTATAAAATCAACAAATTTGATAATGGATCATTGATAAGCAGTTTGGGTAGACGGGTAAAGTAGAGGGGTGAAGCGATTAAACTCGAAGCAGAAGGAACCTATGAAACCCAGCAGATGCTTTTTTTAGGTTAATCAACATGTGATCAAGTGCTCAACAAAAGAGCATAACTTGGGCAGAGCTGTTCTCATTGGTCCAAAGTTGCCTTTGAGCCCTTTAGTGCATTAAATTTAACTTTTTTCGGCACATCACAGGTGCTGTCAGTGGCGAGAAACTGTGTATATGCTAAGTGGCAGCACCACTCTGCAGACAGCTTTTTGTTTCAATGGGCAACATTGGTTTATGTTACATGGCATGCACTATGCTCTGCACAAACTACAATGTGGTGTTTTTCCAGCCATATAACGAAGCCTTGTGTTTCAGTGCTCAGACGACCTGATAATAATTGGTTTGGGCTACAGTTCCTGTAACATAATATCGTGCACTTCACAATGCAAAGCTTTATGTCATATTTCTGTTCCTATAACATAACTTTACGTATTGCAGTTTCGCGTAATCATAACGATTGTTTCACTGTCCTGCAGGAGCGCTTCACACAGGACATGCAGCCACACTACGTGTACAGCCCGCGAGAGATGACTCGCTGGGTGAGGGGCATCTGCGAGGCACTGCGACCCCTTGAGACACTCAGTGTCGAGGGACTCGTGCGCATCTGGGCTCATGAGGGCCTGCGTCTCTTCCAGGACAGGTATGAACTGTGGCTGGTGTATAGCACTAACTCTAGCACTCTCTCTCTCTCTCTCTCTCTCTTTCTATCGCGCTCTCTCCCTCTCCCTCTCCCTCTCCCTCTCCCTCTC